GCAAATGGAATGATTAGCTAGCTTCTATTTCTACCTGCTGAGTTAATACGCGTTCACTTTCCCGAAACCAATATACAGACAATGAACCTTGTATATTTGGTCAGCACTAGTGATCAGGATGGTCACTCAAAACCCAATCGTACAGATTAAAGAAAAACGAATAAAAATGATTTGAAAACTTTGAGTTTTAACGATAAGGACAAAATAAAGGGTAAAATGAATAGTACCAAAATTGACTTTTTAGTGTAAAAGTATGATTTTTCGTTAAAGTAAACAATATCGGAAACTTTTCGTTAAACTTCCCTTAATTAAATGATCAGTTGTTCTTCAAAATTAGTAATTAATCTTCAATTATCCCCTATTATTTTCTACCCCTTTATTTTGCTCTTGAGGAAATAAAGAGAAAATCACAGATAAAGAGTGTCACTGTCTAGTTCTTAATTAATATACAGAAAAGGGCATCTCTAGCTAAAAGGATGGCCGGTCGAGGATATCTAAGTACTGAAAGAAGTCTGGTGGGACATTTTACATAATTGATCGACTAGCAATAGATCGCCATTCCATATGCATTGAACAGCTCAAGCTACTCATGTAATTAAACACTTTAATGAAAATCATACTTACAGATTATTTTCAATGTGTAGATCTTTAATATAAACTTGGAAAACTATACCAACTCACTCGCACCGAATCCCCATAAGGTCTCTCAAGCAGTACTGATTCATCTTCAGGTCCTTGTGGCTTACGATTGGTAGCAAGGTACTTCATCTTCAAGTCATTGCTCATGACAATGGCAGCAGCAGGAGGAAAGCTGGCCTTGGAAATTACGTACTGAGGCCTCACTGAATATTGCCCTGCTTTTTACAATCTTACCTTTCTTAGAAGCACCCACAGCCATCCTTTCTTAGGCAACAGGTCCACCATCTGATGATAATCAGATAGCTAGACATGGACCCTTTCAGCAAAACAACAGGCTGGCCGGATATGTAATTTCAATTTTAATCGAGGGTATGTTCCGACGAGAGATGTTCAAAGTCCTAAGGAATTTTAGATTTTTTCTTTTGGGCTAAAAAAAAAAAAAAAAAAAAAAAAAAGAAACCTACCATGGAATACTAAAGCTACTAACAAATACGCTAGACAAATGGCTTTCAAAATGACGCATTTTAAAGACTTATGTAAAAGTTCTCTCAAATGTATTGTATCAAAACATTTTGCAAGTCCCTCATCTATATCAAGGTCGATCATATGTATGTTCAAATTGAAGCATATATGTATATTGTCCGTAACTTTGTATAAAAGCATGTTTGTTGCAGAGGATTGTCTTGGATATAATTATTGACTATAGTGACATACATTTTGAATGAAGAAATAAAAGACAACTTCTATATTTTGTCAAAGGTAAAGGTTACTCATGTAGAAAAAAAAATATCCCTACTAATCGCACAAAATGGTAGGAATAAATGAGACAACTTTCTTCGTGAGTAACTTTCAACTTGAAAAATAAGCATCCACTTCTTCCAGTAAAATGCCTTGACACATGAATAATTCTATCTAAGACAATCTTCTCTGACAAACGAAGGCATCATCAATTATTTAAAAAAATTTGTGTATATGCTAAGCTTTCTCTACCTCACTTTTCTCTCTCATCCATTAATGTAGGCAGGATTTGATTGAAGCGCAGAAATTCTGTGCTGTTTGAGTTTGTTTTATGTGTTCAAATTGATCTTGGTTTATGCAAGTTCACGTTTTCGCCGAAAACTCAAGACATACACAGAAAATACAATCTACAACTACTCCACATCGAATATTTAGTTTCAACACTTTAATTTTAGGCTTCATTAATTTGTTTCTCTTTATCAAGCGATATTTTAAATCTTTAATATGTAAATGTCCATTGAGGTCGATCAGATATTTATTTCTACTAGGAATACTTTTACACAAACTTGTTCAATTATGTAGTACTGTTAAAGTTATTGTGATTGCAGCTCTCCACTCAAAAACCCAGTAGACTATCTTTTTGCTTTTTTTCTTTTCTTTACTATATAACAATGTAGATAAATGTTCTCTTTGACCACTTAGTGATAAAAATGTCCGGTCACTCACTTATAATTTTATATCAAAAGTTGAGATTAAAACATTAAAAGATTCACATTCATGTATTTTTCGTGTATTAAGTGAATTTTTTTATTATACATATAAAATCTAACCACAGTCAGGATCATATATATTTTTATATTAATTCAGTTTTGTGCTACAAGGGCGAGTCTATACCGACTCGAGTCAAGTGGGTGGGGTGGATACTGGAGCCAGTGCGGGTAGTGACCAATTAGTTTATTTATTTACAGGGACTGGAGACTAAAATTTATAATTTTCGGAAGTAGAGGGGAAAAAGTACGTAGGACGTCAGTTTCAAGGGAAACAGTAGTTGAATTGAGTAAGTGGGTACAGGAAACAAAAGAAAAGAAAAGATGCATGAGAAATGATTTTGCACTCGATGGCTTTATGATTGATGGAGAGGAGAGAGAAACCACACACAGACACACACTTTATTCAGCAATTCCAACGCCTTTTTGACAACAAAAAAGAAGGGCTACTCGTTACGTATAGCTTTAGCTTGGACTCCAATGAATTACGTCTGTCGTTTTTATGGTGAAATTATGAAAATTAGGGTTTTCCCTCTGCCCCCCTCCCACCCCCCTTGAATTTGTTTGGGATTTGAGTTCTTTTGACTTTTTCTTATTTCTCTTTCTTTCTCCTGCTTCTTATTATTCATACACAGTCCCCCAGGCAAATATTGAAATCAACCACCGCCCTATTGGGTTGGTGGTCATAAATCAAGAAGAGAGAGAAACAAACTAGAGAGAGAGAGAGATAGAGAGAGTTTGATAGCAGCATAAACTGGATGTCACTGAGCCTTCACATCGCATGGAATACCGAGAAGAGATGTAGACGTTCCTCTGCATGGCTTTATAACAAGTTACATATATACATACAGACGCACTGGGGACCCGGCTTTCTCTCTTTCTTGCCTGCTTCTCCTCCTCCTTCATTCCTGCAATTTCCCTCAGTTTCTCCAGCTTACACCGTGAAATTAACTCCTTGTATTCTTGTAACTCACATAATAATATTACACTATAGTTAGCCCACCACTTAATAACCAAACTACCCCTTAATCTGGTCATGCATAGCATTCTACTTTGATAGTGCAATGTATTATAAGATCCGCAACGTAAAAATCAAACTTGTTACAACATTCACGATGTCATGTTATGTCATGAATTATACTTTGTTACTATTGCGTTGCTTTAGACTGTAAACTTTGACATATTTATGACTTGATTTTTCCTTTTCTTGCAATTCAGACTGAATACATGAAAGTAAGGAGCTCAAATATGAATAACGATAACGGGTAATTTTTCATGGCATGCACAAATAATTTCCTACACATACTATACCAAGATGTAACAACCAACGTTAATAATGTTATAAATAAGGGTAGTACTATCCACACACTTATTTTTACTTCTCGCACACTCTTTTCAATTTCCGGCCATCTAATAGAATGAATTGAAGAAAATGAATGGATAAAAGTTAACAAAAGTGCGTGAAGCAAAAATGAATGTGCAAATAACACTTTTCATAAACGATACCATTTTTTAACCTCACCATAGTTATGTAACATTGGAAATCTATACCCATTTCTTTAGAAAGTACAGTAGAATTTCCCTTACAAAAGAAAAATAATTAAATTATTGTTAATAATTATCTTCTCTAGTACTACTTCTAATTGTTCTTGGACAGAGTAAACTAAAATTTTCTTTATTATACAACAATAGGCATATATAATATTGTTAAGAGGTGTCAGTCTGTCAGGTCAGGTTTGAATTGAGGAGTAACAATCGGGAGAGTGGATGGAACCACCAAGTCCTCCCTTTTCCTTCCACAGGCCGTACAGGGCGGGACCGATACACCTACGCACATAATTACTACTTAGACCCATCACATATTCACATTCACACCCATATTGAATTGCATCGTGTTGTTAATTTACGAAGGTTGCTTCCTTGGGGTCCAGATTCTATTCGGTTCTCTCTCTCCAGATTCTTTACAAAACTCTAATCTTAGCCGTTCACAAAGATCATGTTGCGTGTAGGGTGAAAAGGAAGAAATTGAAAATTATTCGTGGCCTAACAATTTGCGTGAACGATCAGAATTAAGAAGGGAAGATCCGGAGAGGGGATCTAAGTCTTTGTTGTAAACTCTGATAAGGCATGACTTAAAAGTCATAAATAGTGTAGAGTTGGGTTATATGCTCAACTTGATTATTGCTGCTAAATTTAATTCATGCATATAGTAAAGAATATAAGTATATATGGTTGGACAAGATATAAGATATGCATGTTGAATTCTTCTGCAATATAATTACAAAAAGTTTCTTTCTTGTATTATTAATTAATATCAAGAGACAGGAACTGATTGAAGAAAACTAAATTCTAAGAAGAATAGGAGTTCTAGATTCCATGAGTGTATGTTAAGCCATTAGATAATTTTAACATGCACTCAGTGCATGAATTTCTTAATTGATGCCTCGAATAAAAAACAATAAAAAGAAGAAGAAGAAGCATCGATAAGATCAACCCTTAACAAGATCGAGCCTGAAGCGTATACGTTGAGAAGTTATGGCATACAAACGCATATAGGTAAAGAAGGTCTGGCATGTGTTAGTATGCCAAAACTTCTCGTATAGGCCAAAGTCGGACCAAATTCTAATGGATAAATAAGAATAGACCAGATGCTAAGCCTGCCTAAGACATGGGCCAAGACCGAAGGGATAGACAGGTCCATTTGATTAGGTCAGGTGCTTAAACCCTAATTAATGTGTCTTGTATCTCGAACGCTCGCCTAACTAACAAAAAGTTGTGGACTGGTAGCCTAGGTTAATTATCCAAGTTTCAATGTGCATTTTGAAGAGAGAAATTAACTACATATTGTGGATCGATTTGAACTTGAAGTAGAAATAAGCATAGTATTCACCAAGAGATGAGAAAATCAAATCACCAAAACAGTGAAACATAATATTCACTCAAACTTTTTAATCATCATTAGGTCATTCAACAGTCTGTCAATGGCTTCATCGTCGTGCCCACGTCCTTTCGTCTGCAGTTTGATCAGGCATACATACACCAAATTAACACAATAAGAAAAGTAAAGTAAAGATATACAAAGTTGCCATATTACGCCAAATACTGAAAACTAATTAAAAACCTAAAGACTATCATACAGGCATGAAGTGGTGCGATGCTGAGATATAAATATTTGCCTTGTTGTAACCTGAGATATGTAGACATGAAATATGAGATTTACAACATTACCTTGAGAGAAGGCACAACTGCCTTGGCTTCCTCCACAGTTTCAGGACAAAGATTTCCAATCACAGCAAGCTGCAGAGTAGAAAATATATGAGGGCTACTATCTAAAACGAAGCGTAATTTGTTCTTTTGATTCTTTGTACATTACCTCGAATTCAGCCAACTGGTATCTACTGAGAACTCTGAATATTTACTAAGGATTAAACGTGTATAAATGATGTATAGTGAAAAGAAGAATACTATAATTATATTATGAAGTGCAATTGGATAACCTATATCAATAGTAAGTTTCTCCATTATATTGGCATTGCATGCTTGTATTGAACCAACATGAATCCTAAAGATTTCACCAGACCATACATAAACTAATTCATCAGTGTGACGATATCTGAATTATATCAACAACGAAGGATACTCTCGAACTTGCTTCACAGAGCCCTGATTCGTGAAGCGACTAAAGCGCTTAACATACTGCAGTGATTTCTCCAACACTCTGGCCATGAAAAAAACATGTGATAAGTAAGTTAATAAGCCTGGACAAGAAAAAGTTAATAAGCACCTTTTCTATGAACCAGCTAACTATATGTTAACTGATAATCCATAATTTTGTACAAGATTTTGATGTCAAGAGTACTAGAATTAAATCTTACTGGGGAAGTTGGTGCATTGATTCGCCGGACATATGCTTCATCTGATCACATCTGTGCTCAAGAAGAATGGCAACCTCACTATTCATTAGACACTTTGCCTTCAAAAAATCTGACAACCCCAACCTCAACGTTACTAATCAATAATTCCCAACGCAAAACAAATCACGACGGGATATTACCCTCTGATTGAATCAAACTAGGTTTACAATTAATTCTGGTGGTAAGTTAGAGAAATTGAGTGCTTGAAGATACAAAAAGTTATGCCCTAGCATGCTTTCTTCAAACAACGATAATGATTTCATGGAGTAATGTTTATCTTTACACAAATTCAATTAAAGTGCACAAATCCAAAAATATATATATATATATATATATATATATATATATTTCGTCTCACATCTTAAATTATTATATCTTCGAATTATGAATGCAAATTGTTGTACAATATCACATTTATAGTGCCATCGGTTTTGTGCCCTTTTGAGTTTTCATACACAAAAGTTTATGCCTAGATCATAACTGAAAATCGCAATCGCATCAAATTAAGAACTTTGAAAGAAATTGATAATAATTAATCAGTTACCGTCTCCAAGTTTGAGTTCTGAAGCGTCTTCATCTTCTGCTCTTAGCATTTTTGAGAGAGCTATCAATGTGACCCCAACTAGATATGCTTTCTTGAACGTAAACAAATCCCTATTGAGGAATTGAATTCTGTAGTTCTGGCCTTCAGCTATTATCTAAAGCTCTCAAGTGTACGGACCTCAGGTTTTGGGCCGACTTAAAAAATAATTCGATTTCGGGATTTAATGGCTGAAATTTATAAGGCCAACTTTAGGTCAAATATTAGATTTTGGGCCAACCCAAAACACTAACCCTTTAGCTACGACACAACTTCACAACCCAAGTTTTTGTTTTAGGTTAATAATCGAATTCTGCATATGTATGTTAGATCAGTTGGTTAGGATAACGTGTCTTTTACATCCAAGTTTGTGTACCCGTCCTTTAGATTAAATAGTTTTTTACTTTTATTACAAGCGATATTCTTACTCAAAGCTAAATTAAGGGAATAGAAGAAAGGTTTCAACACGGAATACAATAAGTTGAAGAAGAGTACTTTATCCATCAGTTACACAAATATTAAAGTAATTTAAAATATTGTTTAATCGAAAAGAGTTAATGGGATTCTTATTTAATGACATAAAGGTATACGCCAAAATTACTAAACCACGTGTTCTTGTTTTTTTTTCTTTTCAGTTTTCATAATCTTCAAAGTGTGAAAAAACTATAAAAACAAAACGTAATATGAGATTCTTGTAGCTATGATCGAGGAAGTTCAGATTACATGGGATAAGAAAAGACATCATATTTGGTTAGAGACAGATTCTATTCATCTCATCCACCTTCCATCAGCTTGTTCCATGGATGTTCTATTGTTTCTCGAAGTTTCTTGGGTGAATTTTTATGGTATATTACTCACTTGCACTTTCACGTATTTTTAGAGAAGGAAATTGTTTAGCAGATGAATTTTCTGATTTTGGTGCAATGAATAGTAGTTTTACGTGGTGGAACTTGGTACCTGATTTTGCTGAGGCGTCTTATAGAAGAGACTACATTGGGTTTCCATTCTTGCATTCGAGGTCATGAGGAGAAAATTGACGATGAGGAGGTGGATATTGCCAGCTGAAATATGAGCAGCAGAATTATGAAAATCCAATTTCAAGTGACTGAAGCTGAAGAATTTTTAAAATAGAACATTTCAATTTTGTTACTTGTTTATAGTTTGTATTGGCCTAATCTCTCCGCTTGTTTCATTTTTCACTAGTCATTTCTCTTTAGGGAGACAGTTGGTGTCTCGCACAAGATTTTGAAATAGATTATAAAAGAAAAAAAACTACATGGTCTTGGGAAAGGGATCCTTTTCGAATTCCTTCCTTCTAATCCACCAAATCAGGGAATTCGAACCATTGAAATTTGATCCAACGGCTACAAACAGAGGATCACTTTAAAAATTATAATAACTTCAACCGTTAGATCAAATTTTAATGATACGGATTCTCTAATTGATGGATTAGGAGGAAGGGGTCTTTATCCCTTTCCATGGTCTTGAACTAAAAAAAATAAAAGATAAGAGTCTCTGACTGGTGCCGTCCAATCCAACATACGAAGGTTGAAAGAGACCATTTTGGCTTTGAATCTTATTTGGAGATGATGGCATCAACCCTGCCATAATACGAGTCGGGAGGCAAACTGGTTTTTACCGATCTTCGATTTGGATCCTCCGAATATTCTAACGGTTCCAACATATATGCCCGCGCATATTCGCATCTCGTCATCGTATCTTTGCTTATCAAATCCTTCTTTGCTTTGGTGGCGTAATAATTGGTTCAACCTGCAAACCCCAACATTTTCTGCCAACCATTTTATAATCCATGAAACTAATATTCCCTTCTCCCTGCCAAACCCAATCATATTCAACCAGTATTTTATACACAAAGAATCTAAAATACTTACAAATTTTACAAATTAACTAATATTTACGGGATAAATACAAGTCCGATATTAAAAGAGATTTCAAGTTCAAAAGCACGACAGCTAGATAATTATGTTCACCAACTCACCCGTCGGTGAGTATATCTGTGGGTACACTCAATTCTTCGCATACCTTGTTCTAATTTCTTGGTTATAACTTGAGATTTTTCTCTAATTAGTATTTATCTAGTCGTGTAACATACTAGCATTCCAAAATTGATTGGTAACTAATCCCAACCCTTTTGCATCATCACCATAACAATTATAATTAAGCATCTCCTACTTAATTCTCCTAGATAATTATCAACCTTGTTATATATAAAAGCAGTGGACCGTGACACTTTTAACAAGGAAGAAGCTTACCTCCAAATATTCAACAAGTCTATACCATTTGCCTCGGTTCATATATTTTCTCCAAAGCCATCCATGGCTATTCCTAGTAAAAATTCTAGGACCTCTATTTTTTTCTCGATCCTCAGTTTTGGCCTGTGTCTGGTAATTACATCTGCGGAGCTTCAGAGATTCGACCACCCGCCAAACAAGATGGATCACTCAGTTTCTTGGTGGTTGGGGACTGGGGAAGAAGAGGAGATTTCAACCAATCTCAAGTTGCCTTTCAGGTTTCTTCCAACAACTTCCAAACCTTCTTCTCATTCATATAATATTCTTCTTAAAATTTTGACGGAAGTAACATTTTTGGAATGCTAGTAACAATTTGCTCTGGCATGCACAACTACTTCTGTTGCAGATGGGAAAGATTGGAGAGAAACTCGACATAGATTTCGTGGTGTCGACGGGAGATAACTTTTACGACAATGGACTCACCAGCGAGCATGACACAGCATTTGAAGAGTCGTTTACCAAAATCTATACAGAAAAGAGCCTGCAGAAGCAGTGGTATAGCGGTAAGTTTCTTCTGTGAGGACGTGGAGAGTTGTCTCACGTTCGAAAGTTAATGAAAATGAATATTTTATTTATTATACTAAATCTTAATAATTTTTTTCCTTGGTTTACTTTGAACGCAGTGTTGGGAAACCATGATTACAGGGGAGATGCAGAGGCTCAGCTGAGCCCCCTTCTGCGGAAAATCGATAGCAGATGGCTTTGCTTGAGGTCTTTCATTGTGAATACAGGTGTGCATAAGATAAGAACTCGAGTTTCATCTGTTGTACACAATGAATTCAAATTCCTATGAAATTCGATCATAATTCACAACCAATTTCTTCCTGTTGTCTTTTTTCCTCCAGAATTAGCAGAGCTTTTCTTCGTCGACACCACGCCTTTGGTGGATAAGTACTTCACAAACGCAGACGAGCATACTTACGATTGGCGCGGCATTGCCCCTCGGAAGGCTTATATTGCAAACTTGTTGAAGGTATAATCAATTTTCTGCTACCATTTTGAATTTGAAGGTCTTGCCTAAAATGTTAGAAATTTAAAACGCATGGAAGTGCGCAATTAGCGTGAGATACTGCCAAATTGACTGTCTTCACGAAGACAATGATGCATATTGATATATCTGATGTTGTAATAGGATGTGGAGTTGGCATTGAAGAAATCCTCTGCAAAGTGGAAGATTGTTGTTGGACACCATGCAATTAGAAGTGTAGGGCATCATGGTGACACACAGGAACTATTAAACCAGCTTCTCCCAATCCTTCGGGTATGTATATCTATAAATCTTCGATAAAATTGATGTGATGAAATAATGTCATATGTAGAAAGTTAACTCTGCTACATCTTAGTATATCTCAGGTCAATGACGTCGATTTTTACATGAACGGGCACGATCATTGCCTAGAACACATTAGTGACTTAGAGAGGTAAGTTTAATTTAGGTAGTCCTTTTCAATTTTCATGCTGTTGCTTAAAATTGGAAGGCCTTGTTTGGTACCCTGGATTGGAAAACTCACTAGATTTGGAAGTTAACATTCATTTCTTGCTTCAACACATTGAATCTGGTGGTGATTATCCCATTCAATCCAATCCTAGGCACCAAACGTGAGCCTTGACCGAAAAAGTTTAATTTTTATGTGACGCCATATGATGGTGATGCTGATTGAAACTCGAATGTAAATGCAGCCCGATACAATTTCTAACAAGCGGAGCAGGGTCTAAAGCTTGGAGGGGAGATGTTAAGGGGCTGAACAAAGAAGGGCTCAACTTCTTTTATGATGGTCAAGGCTTCATGTCTGTGAAGTTGAATCCCACAGATGCAGAGATTGCATTCTATGATGTTTTTGGCAACGTTTTACATAGACTGAATGCTTCCAAGCAGCTTCACCCCTCCATATAAATCAAGTTTTGTAGCTAGATCCTATAGGGAACGTGTTATATATAGATTGTTGTTGCAAGAACAAAATTGTAGTTGGATTCAATTCCCAAATTGTTCTTATTCTTAAAATGTACCTCGTTCAGCTACATTGATCCTTATCAAATTGATCGATTTTTTTTAATTTTTTTACAAGATGATATTCTAAATTACTTTGATGTACGACAAGAAGGATCGAACTGCAGAGCAAGGAGAAAAGTACACTGCTGTACACACATATGCAATTAGTCGATTTCTTTCGATCACCACAATTTTATTGCTCAATATAATATTTTAAACGAACCCAAATTCAAGCTACTTGGCAAATATGTTCTGAGCCGGAAACATTCCCTCATGTATGAAACTCAAGAACCTATAATATATAAATAAGAGGTTTCTTGGACAAGAATCATGATGAGGTAAACCTAAATAAGGACGTTTAGCATGGTTCTCTTTCAACATATCCTAGGTGATGAGAAACTAGAACACAAAATTAAGCCATCATTTCAGTTCTTCCTAGCACGTTGTACAAAATATACTAAGACACCATTTTAATGTTACCAAGATATATATTGTTGGAGTTTGTACGGCTCGGTATAAGTCATGGGTATGGACCAACTTAAGCGTTTAAGTTTGTTCCGAATTATTAAGTTAAAAACTATATTAGTGTTGAATCGAACATAGATGTAAGCTCACGTGGATTTGTTTCACAACTTATATATTAAGAGTTGTTTTATCAACAAATGACCTAATGATTTGTAGAAAAACTTATGCATCATGCTTCATTCCTTTCTGTATATATTTGGAATTGAGCTAGCAAGTGATCAGTGCAGGACATTCACTCAATTGCCAAAGTACGATCCCATAGCCTGAAAGTGAAAGAGAAAAACAACATGTAAGAAATTGCTAGGAAATTGGGAAGGAAAGCAACCCTAGGACCAAGACCCATCGATGGGACCCAGCATGATCATATTTTGCACTGCAGATGCCGACTGAAATAAAATAGGTTTCTTTTCCCACCTATTCTCATTCCTTTCTCTTTCATCCTCTCATACTTTGATTTTTATCTTATTATCTTTATAAAAAAATTAATATAAGATGTTAACATAGTTTAACGGTAACTATTCAAGTAGGAGGGGAGAGAATCCTCCTCGAGTGAAATAACTTCAAACAGATAATTAGGGGGGGTCTGCGTAGGATTTACTTTCCCTTGTATGTTTATGCCTACATTTTCCTATTTCAGTATCTAATTGCATTATTACATGGCCCTCACAACAATAATTCATATTAACTAAAGCACTTTCTCTTTATATATATATATATATATATATAATAATAAAAGGACGTTATACTTTCTTCTAGTTCCAACTTCCAACCATCTCTCCCTCTCTCTCTCTCTCTCTCTCTCTCTCTCTCACACACACACACAGAAGCATAATATTGGCTACCTGATGTCCATGGCCATGGGGTTGCTGTGGATGGTTCTTTGCATGAATATTATTTGGTTGAGCTTTGTTTTTGTGTCGACGGCGGAGCTTCAGCGATTTGAGCACCCTGTGAAACCTGATGGCTCACTCAGCTTTTTGGCGGTTGGTGACTGGGGTAGAAGGGGTGGTTACAATCAATCACACGTTGCTTTTCAGGTTCACTTTGTTAACTATATTTCTTTACTTTGTTGTTCTTTTTTATTTTTTTTATGCAAGTTATGGAGGAGGAACACATTATTCTGACCAGCTTTCGCCAGGATTTGTTTTACTTTGTTTATTATAGACACAGAGTTGGACAGAGATATTGAAAATGCTTTTGATTGGATTTGGATCCTCTCCTGAGCCAAGGAGAGGATCCTCCTAACCAAAGTACTTGGATCGTTGGATGAAAATCCAATGGCCGTAACTATTATAATTTTAAAAAGATCCCCTTATTTGTAGTCGTTGAATTTTTATCCAACAGACCAAATACTTTGGTCAGGAGGATCCTCTCCTTGGCTTAGGAGAGGATCCAAGTCCCTTTTGATTGACTCATAAAGCACATTTAACTTTTTCAATGCTAAAAGCGCTTTTGATTATGATTTGAAAGCGTTTTTGGCTATTTCAAAAAGTAACGAGTGGCTGTTCTTTTCCTCTGTGTACAAGTACAATTGCATTTTGTAAATACTTAATTGCAGATGGGGAAGATTGGAGCCAAATTAAACATTGACTTCGTCATCTCCACGGGTGACAACTTTTACAACAGGGGATTGACCAGCGTCAACGACCCTGCATTTCTAAAGTCATTTACTGAAATCTACACTGCTCAGAGCCTGCAAAAGCAATGGTATCTTGGTGAGTTCGTTGCTCAGCTCTGTACATTTTTAAGTCCTTCAGATTCACCCGCTAAATTCTCATTGATTCTTCAATGCACATCCAATCGTGAAATTCAGTAATATATGTTACATGAATGTCCTCTGATTTTCATAATATCGTGGCAATTGAATTGGGATGGAGCTCAGCTGACTTTGTTTTTATGTTGGCGGGAAAATCGGGTCGATTTCAGTTCTCGGCAACCATGACTACCGGGGAAACGCTTTGGCCCAGTTGAGTCCGGTCCTTAGGAAGATGGACAGCCGGTGGCTTTGCCTCAGGTCCTTTCTTGTCAATACACAAGTTGCAGACTTCTTCTTCATTGACACCAACCCTTTTGTGGACAAGTACTTTTTGAGGCAAAAGTACTACAGGCATGACTGGAGAGGTGTTCTTCCTAGGAAAGAGTACATCTCCAACCTCTTGAAGGTACTCCTCCCGTTCCTCATCGGCTTGAGAACGAAAAAGGGATTTCACTTGACAGTATCTCAAATCAATTATAAATTGCTCTACGAGAAATTTAAAACGCATGTGGTGTGTTATTGACTTGAGAGTTGAGATACCGCGACAGTGGCATTCCTAATTTTCTCCCATCATGTTCCCATTTACAACAATGGATTTTCCTGCCAGTAAACATAATACATTTGTTTATGTTGGGAACAGGATCTAGATTTTGCATTAAGGAAATCTTCTGCAAAGTGGAAAGTTGTCGTTGGACATCACACAATCAGAAGCATAGGGCATCATGGAGACACCAAAGAAGTAGTAGACCAAATTCTGCCCGTTCTTGAGGTAACTTCTTATGCTGCTATGCATGAGAGAGAGAGAGAGAGAGAGAGAGAGAGAGAGATGTTGAATAACGTGTTTTGATCTCTCGTATGATTTTGATGCAGGCAAACAACGTTGATGCGTACATAAACGGACATGACCACTGCTTGGAACACTTACGTGACACCAACAGGTAAAGATGAATAAACAGTTTTTACGTTTTGTTTATGGATGAACAGAATCTGTTAAAAATCACCAATTTGTGTGCAGCCAAATGCAATTCTTGACCAGCGGTGGTGGGTCGAAGGCATGGAAAGGGGATATCAAAGCGAAACGAAATGGATTCAAGTTCTACTATGACGGGCAAGGCTTCTTATCTGCACAACTTACAGAAACTGATGCAGAATTTGCATTCTATGATATGTTCGGTACAGTTCTGCATCGTCTGAATCTATCCAAGCCTAACAAATTTCTTTACAATTCCATGTAGAAGTGCAACAAAAGAAAGGATGTCTCATAAATAAAATGATCAAATGTTGTTCTTGTAACCCATTGCATCGATGAGAAATAGTTGTCACGCAAATATATCAAAATTACACAAAGTTTGACAATCCTACAAAGCCTTTTATTACACGAACAAAAGCAAATCTTCAACTGTTTATATACAGCAATTAGCACCAAATAATTGGTATTCTTCACTAGGTTTACAGTCAATTATCCCATTTGAGAAGGGCAGTTATGCCTCCACATGCACCACCGTGTTTTACTATAGCAGGACCGATCTTAACTTGACATAACTCAGTTTGCAACAAAATGATACCTGGAATCGACATAGCTCTCGACGTCCCAAAGAAAAGAGCCAAAAGTCACAGCTTCCAAAACAAGTCTCCTCAAACCACCAAAGCTAATTTTGATGTGATCATCCTTGGAGGAATCAACAGTTCCCTGAGGTGTGATGACAATATCGGGTCGCCCAAACAATGCCTCAGTGTGCTTTTCAATGATGCTAACGGCCTCCCTCGATCTAATTGTTGCATACCTATGAAGGGTCTCTCCATCAAACGACATCACATAAGTACGCAAGCGGGAAGGCTTGATCGCATTACCAAAACCCCCAGAACTAATGCCTCCAGCCCAAGAAGAGACTTCAGGATGCGAAGAAGCCCCTGCTTGCAAAGTATCCTCTCCACTGCCAGGCCTCACATCCTGCCCCACAGATGTCTGAATATCACTGTCTTCGGGACCCATTGCACTTGGAAGGATCTTCATTGTCTTCTCAAGCTGAAACCTATGGTCAACCCGTTTGAGGAAGTACCCATACATGACAGAGGCCGCATAAACCTGTCCGACTCTGAGTTTGCTAATCTGAGCTAAGGAGGTCGAGTCACCCAACCGATTTCCTAGGATGAGAGACAGGTGGTTCTGAATCATCTCGTACGCTTCGGGAGAGTGAAGCTGCTCGAGCTTCTCATTTTGACTTGGCCATGAATCAACTCGGCCAGAAGGGTCCGAAGCAGTAGGGGTAATGGCGGGTACTAAAGAAACATTAGCGTCCATGAATTTCTGCACCACCAAAGTATACAAAATCTCTTCAAGGGCCTTTCTCCTTTCAGTAGCCTTAACCTCAGCGATCCTCCTGATAATGCAGAAGAAGTTAGTAAAAGACCAATATCTCACTCCAAAACTACAATTCTCCATTTCGTTTGCACATGACAAATGATGGCAAAGAGGGAAACATAAAACAACATAAAGAACGAAATTTCTGTTTCTTTTCATTCTTTTAGATTATTTTCATCCCATGTCTTGTCTTCTGGACAATTACACAAAAAATTCAAGCTTGCTTCCTTTATTCTGATTTTCATATGGAAAACAGCATCATACTTATGGTTCATTTGCGCAGCGTAACTTGATTTGATTGAAAACATCAGTGGCTATTAGCTTAGCACTCAATCTCGAGATTGCTACTAACCTGTACAAAACGATGTCAGTACCAGAAGCAGAAGGCTCTTCCTTCTTTTCCTCAGCATCACGGTCGGTTAGAAGCTGTTCAAGCTGCTGGTCCACTGCACTAGGCACGAGGTGCGGGTGGCTTATCATTATCTGTGAGAGAAACTGCCCAATTGGAGACTCCAGCTTAAGTGGGGCAATTGGAGAATCAGAACCAGCTGAGTCCGGAGACGAAGATGCAGCTGCCGCCCTAACTACCAAGCCTCTCCTGCTTCCATATCCCATTCTCCTATGCCCCACCTTCGGTTGACAGATTGAAAACCGATGCTGCTAAACAAGGAATCAGATTTCAGATCAAATATTACTCAAGTACATCTCCATTTTCTATCGTAGATAGAAATATTCCAAAAAAATCAGATGAGCTCAGAAATTGATTTTTGGCATAGACAGTAAATCATATGCTATAAACAACACAATTGAACTGCATCAACTAAAAGCGCTAAAATCCTAATCAAAGATTGAACATTTATGAACTTAACAGAAACCCTAGAATTCTCATGAATTATAAGGGGAACCGATTACTCACAAACTATTCGGGATCATGCAAAATTGAAAAGCAACAAGAACCCTAGAATTCTCATCAATTACCTTGCTTGGCGAGTGAGCTTTGGGACCCAAACGCAGAAATCCGGGGCCATTGGCCGTCAAAATCCCCGATCGACCAATCGAATTGGAAGGCCTGGAGGCGGCGATTGATGATTGGAAAATACTCGATGTGGCCGCTGCTTCCATCTTTCAGCTCCCGAACCCAAAACCCTATAATTTAAGATTAGAACTGAGAAATTTCCCACAATACAAATGAAATTCTGATTCTTTTTCGATTTACAATGAAATCCCTAATTGGAAAAATGGGAATCGAATTGAGCAGATTGACTTGTGCAATTCGTACCAGGGAGAGAAATTTATAGAGAGAGAGAGAGAGAGAGAGAGAGAGAGAGAGCGAAAGCGAAAGCGTGTGTTATCTGTGTGTTGCGTGAAGGGATACGTCGGCGTCTTACAATTCAGAGTTTTTGTGGCCGCAGATCAAATTTGCCTTCTTTCTATTTTTAGTGATTCTCGTTTATGCTTTTTTTTTCTGTGGAAATAACAGGCAGCCTTGTATCGTATGTCCCATTTCCATTATTTTTTCTATATAAATGAGATATTTAAATTAGAAGGGTGAAAAAAAATATATTGATACAAACGATGATGTTTATGCTTTACATTTTATATTGTGAAATAAATTTCTGAAGAGTTGTCTACTTATGATCATTTTCATGTTACGTGATTGAAGTAGTGTTGAATGACCAAATTTGCATATCAAATGATGTGGTCGTTGATAATTGAATTATTATTAAAGTCATGATTAACGTGTTTATTTTATACTAATGACACATTATTTGATTTGTAAATTTAATTTAAAATTTTAATCTCCTTAACATTGTCCCACATACAAAAGATTTCGAAATATAAGTAGCATGATGTGATCTAGGACATCTTTACTCAAGTATTTCTTCACTATTGTTTGTAGTAAATCAATATATTTTCATTTTGGTTCTCCCTAAATTTCAGTCATAATAAGTTAATGACTATTTGGTTGGTTCCATTTAAAAGAAAATTAAATTCATATTTCATAGTCATAATAAGTTAATGAGCTATTTATTGTGAAGAAGAGTTTTTCGTCTTATTGAATAATTTTTTATAAATATTTAAGGAATAATGGATATCAATTTTTAAACTAAATTTGTAGACCAAATGATGTATCACCAATAAGAAACAAACACGTTAATCAACATTTAGTTATTAATCCATGAGTAATGCTAGAGAGACTGAAATTTTAAATCAATTTTTTTGCAAACCAAATGATGTCTCATCAATAAGAAACAAACATGTTAATCAACGCTTAAGTAATAATATAATCATCAACAACCACATCATTTGGTTTGCAAATTTGGTTTAAATTTTTTTTTGTCTCCCTAACATTATCCATTATCCGGTCATCTACAACCACATCGTTTTAGAGTCAGAAGCTGAGAGTATTTCCTAAATTTCATATTTTAGTTAATATATTTTATATTTTGAGGTGTGAAATTCATATTTGAGTGTTTAATCTGCACTTCGAGATGTGAGATTCAAACTTGAGTATTGTAGCGTATAACTATAGCAGCAGTCCACATGAAACCACGTAAGTGCACACTTGACCGAATTTTGAACCTTTTTCTGATTGGCCGGAATTTCGGGTGATATTATCGGTCGGAGCTCCCCATGATTACGACTGCGCCGCGACCAAATCCAGAAGTTGTTGGTCGACGTAACATCTTTCTTTCCAGTTCTGGATGTATCCAGAGAAGTATGGGGGATTACCATTTTGTTTTGTTGGCGCATCTCGATTGCGCCCCGACAAAAGACATGAACTTGCATGGATTTGGACTTCATATTACAACCACCAATTTTCTAATTTAACCCATAATTTCATTCCTCCAAAATATTTCCATCACCCGTCCAACTTTCACTGGAGATCTTCTTTTGCCCAGGCACATCTGATGAGTGACAGAAAAATCTTACCCATACTTTGCACATTGAATATTTTTTTCTTGCTGTGAGTTCGAATAGTTTAAAATATCGATTCGTTATAAATAACAAATGTTGAGTTTTATTTTTATGAGTGACATGATGTAATTTGTGTTATTAATGTAAGGATAGTATTATTTACATATTCGTTTTCACCTCTCACACATTTTTATTAATATTTTTGTTATCGATCTTCTTCAACTATTCAATTCGATGGCTAAAAGTTGAGAGGACCGTGTGAGAAGTAAAAATAAGTATGTGGATAACATTACTCTTAACGTGATTAAACTTGACATTTATACTCACGTAGTTTGAAAATCTATTTTTCTTAGATCTTAAGTATATTCCTCTGAATAAATGCCAGGGGGACTCGTCCCAAAGCGAGTCTGAAAAGACTATTCGCCCATGAAATACTCCATCATTTGATCTTGCTAGTAATTATGGGTTCATGTCAATTTAAATTAAGGAAAATTAAAGAAAAAAATTTTAAATTTTTGAGTTTTAACGAAAATGACAAAATAAAGGGTAAAATGAGTTCACTGTCAATTTAAATTAAGGAAAACTAATGAAAATAACTTGAAATTTTTGAGTTTTAACGAAAATGACAAAATAAATGGTAAAATGAATAGTACCAGGATTGACATTTTAGCGTAAAAATGTTATTTTTGGTTAAAATAAACAGTATCATACTATCGTATGCTTTTCGTTAAAATTTCCTTTAAATTATAGAACCCGTAATTAGCATTAACTTTTGAAGTACTATTACATGAAAGGAGAGTTCTTCCACACTCGCTTGGGGCGAGTTCCTTAGCATTTCCCTTTCTTTTGTCGTTGCGATCGGGTGGCTCACCAACTTGCCAGGTTTTCTCTAGACACCGATCACAATGTAATTCGAAAGGAGTATCTTCCTGACATCATTCGAGACGTTCTTCTCCAAAATTCTAAGTTGAGGTTATTTTTCTATCAATTCTCTTTCAAAAAAATATACAAA